AGCTTACAGATAATAAGTCATTAAGACCATTATAATTACAAAATGTCTATTTAACATATCGTCAGTAGGCAATAAAAATCTAGTCACTCCATCTGCTTTTATTTTTATTTAGACATATAATATTCTGACACTGGGACAATAATTATATTCATAAATGAACACATTCACATTATTATTTCTTATGAAAAATGTTCTTAGGAAAGATACTTTATTAACTATCTGTAGAAAGAAGGATTTTTTAGTCTCAACAATTAAAAAAGTATATTTTAAATTTATTCAAATTATAGCCTTTTCAGGGAAAAAAACTAGAGATCATATCATTCCACCTAGTTGTCCGATCTTAACGATTTTTTTTTTTCTTAGGAAATTCCATAAACTTTTAAAAGACCAAAAGAGCCGTTTTTGAGAAAATTGTGAAAATGTGCTTCAGCGTTGATATAAAGTGACACTTCCGGTTAGCCGATTTTAAGGAAAAAGTTGCCGTCACATCTAAGGCATATGCCTATCTTAAATACGTAATATCAGTTTCGTAGGACTTTTCGTTTTTGAGCTCAGGGCACCTCAAAACGTCTATTTCCGTTGAAAACTCAGATTAAAAAATTTTCTCGATCGCAATACTTACACTTACTATATATTACATATATACGTAATTGAAAGTAATAATACTATACATTGTTGGAACTAAAATGTTTCACTTATGCTTAAGGTTAAAAAAAAAAGAAAATCCTAATTCACTATAATTCTTACTTAGCTCTTATCACTTTCACCCATTTCAAATATAAGTAACGTATGAAAAATAGAACTATCGGACAGACTTCTAAATTCGATTAATAATTTCTAAAATCGATGGATAGCGATTTATGCTGACTTCAATGATGACCTGCTGGATTCCAACGGAGGGTTAACGCTCTTGGAAGATAGCGAAACTATAACCAAAATGAATTGTTGAAACAGAAATAATAATAAATATTGATAAAATGTCACGGAAGAGTTTCAATAAATAAATATACATAGAAAGTATATGGAACATAAATATGTGAAGTAAATTAAAAAATAACAAAACGGGCGATATGACGAGATTACAACCATTGGATTCATCGAACTTCTATTGTATTCGATCAAAGGATAGATAAAAAAAAATCCGCTGAATTCGATCGATGAGTATAATGGATATCCGATACAATCAGTGACCTCAACCCTGAGTCTAGAAACTTTTTCATTATTTTTAGCCTCATAAGGAGGATTTCTTTTTATTTACCAATTATCAATTGCACAATTTATAGATAGAAGATCATATAATCATTAAGAGTATTTTCAGTCGATAATGTAACCTCAATTGTAACTTAAACACTACATCTAGCAGTTTATTAAGCAGTTATGATGGAATAAACACGAATACAACTCATAATCTTGAAAGAAATTTACATAGTTAAGATTATCGAACAGATTTGAGATTGCAGCTTAGATTTATTTTATTTTTTTGCTAGGTGTTATTATTCTATATTAAACAAATCAACTAAAGTTTTTGCATTTGCCTATGACTTGGGTCTTGCAGGAAGATCCTTCAACATAGTGAAGGAAGCATTGAGGCACCAGAAAAATCAACAGTAAGCTTGGGCCTAAGGATAAACTTTGATAGAACCAAACTACACGATTACCAGTAGAAACTACCAGAGGAAAGTGCAGAAAGATATGTTACAATATGTTAACCCAAATCGGAAGGGTATAGTCATTTATATATTTAGGATCAATAGTCAACAACAAAAATAACAAGCAAGAAGATATAGAGCGACGCATTCTTTCTGTGAATCGTATGTATTTTGCGCTCTAAAAACATGTAAGGAACAGCATTTTGACCGAAGCCTCTAAAACATGAATTTTTCAGACACTTTACTTACATACGGCTCAGAATGTTGAATGATGATTAAAGCCCTAGAACAAGCCCTTCTGAGATTCGAAAGAAAATTTTCTCAAAAAACCCCCGTTTCTTATTTTCTCCCACCTTGCATACGGTAGACTGACTGGTTGGCTTGAGATCAGATTGAAGAGACTAATGAATTGCTTCATTAGATCCATTTTAGGATTCCCCAAGAGCTCCCACGTCTCCAATTGGTACGCCGAGTTGAAGTGGTTCCATCCAATTTTTCGACGGCAATATTTCCATGGTGTATTCGTTTTCCAAACCTTTACAACCAGAAAATCTTCTTTTCTTCTTGATTTTTCCTTGTTCCTCTATCCATTTTCAAAACACGAGATTCCAGCCCGCAAATCTGTATATTTCTTCTCATATAACCCTCGCACACCCTCTCCACAAGATCTCGTCCTTCTGACCTTTACATTCCTTTCCACAGATCTGTATCATTTAAACATTCCTTCGTTGTCCGTTCCACTGCATTCTGGAATTCCATCCCACTAAAAATCCGCCATGCATCATCCTTATCCACCTTTAAAACCCTCTTATTCCAATTGCTCTTCACAATCCAATCAGACGCTGGTTAAATACATACTTTGTTATAAGGCTTTAATTTTCTTTAGACATTATTTTTTTTCTCTTATTTTTTATTGTTTTATTCTGTGTTGAACGTGAATTTTCATCACCACTCACTAAGCATTGTGAGTACATAAAATTTGTTTTTTTTAATTTCTAATTTTTTTATTCATGAAATGTATTTCAGTGAAATGTATTTTATTTTCTAATTATCTTCAACACACTTCTCGCTATGTGTATACATATATATATATATATATATATATATATATATATATATATGTATACTTTATTTTATATATTCTTCTCCTAATCTTTACGCATAATCACTTAACTATCTTAGGGAACATATGTGTATCATTATTTATTTATTTTTGTTTTAGTTTTTACAATTTCTTTCCTTACATATTAACAGTTAATATTATTTTTTAAATTTTTATATTCCATCACTACAATGCTTTACCTATAAAATAGATTTTGCTTTCCTTTCTAATTTCATTCAGTGATTATTATGCTATTGTTTTAGCTCCAATATTGTAGTACTGAACCCCTATTACCCAACTGTCCTCGTTAATTTATCCTAAGAGCTTAATTAATACTTAATTTATTACAAGTATTTTGTTATTATTCATTGTAATAAGTCTTTTGGCCAGATTTATGGTTAATATATATGAACAATACTGTTATTCTAAAGGGACCTAGTCCCAGAATAAAGATGATTTTTCTATTCTATTCTATAACTGCTTCCTTTAAATAATCCTTTATAATGCATTCTATCTTGTTTTGGAATTCCTTAACCACCTTCATACGCAAAACCTCATTTTAAAATTTTTTAAAATACAAAACCGTGGTTGGCCTCTATCGGAATATGCTTCGAAAGAAGTGAGGTGACAATCCTTATTAGATTGAGGACGATGGCAATACAAATAAATTCTTGATTTTGATAAAAATTAAGGCGACACCGAAGTGTGAAGATATGTGACGAAGACGAGGATCCACTAAATTTAGCGATATACTGTAAGTGGTTTAGCAACGAGAGGAGGAAACATCTTGAGGGGTCAGCGCTTAAAATTCTTAATACAATAAAAGAGCATGACCGAAAAGGATTATAATCTTATTAGAAAATTCATTAAAAAACAACAACAAAATTACTGGTTTAATGCTTAAATAAATATATACATTTCTGGCAAAATAGGATTTTGTCTAAAATCTGAATGACAAAAAACCTGTACCACTAACAACCCATGAAGGATTATATGTTCAGTACAATGTGAGGAAGTACTGTTACAAGGCAAACGGTTGTGCATGGAGGTGACGGGACAATATCACGCTCAACCGCCAGGTTTTTCTCATTAATTAATTATTTAATTAAGATTAACCACTTTATAGAGGCTGAGTTTGCCCTAGAAAGGTTCTTCGGCCCCAGGGTCGACCACGGGTGATGAAAAATTACCGGTCATCAGCCGGATTCGAACCTGGGACCTCAAGCTCTGAAAGTCAGTGTTCATCTACTGAGCTACCTCACTCCTCAATGAACAAAAAACCACCACTTATTTATCCATCTTCTCAGCAATCAATCTTCCGAATATAGATAAGAATTAAATTTTCGTATTTAAGTGTTGTCTCTCTCATTTTACTGTTATTTCAAAGTTATCTATATATTACGTAGATTGCTTATCAGATTATGTAATGTTGCTTATCAGAAACCCTATGTAAACGTACTAATATTTAGTAGTTTTACTTATGCTTGTCCAGAGATTCTCAGAAGGGGGTTTCATGGTGCAAATTGAACAATCAAATTTTTTGAGGGGGACATATTTTGACTTTTTTTTTAAATTTTTGAGTGGGGAAAATTTCGACGGATCAAATGGACAAGGGTAACACATGGGACTGACCTTAGCAAGTGTATTTATATATTATCTACGATTTTTCTAATTCTACCTTTGCTTGCTCTATTTTTAAGAAAGGTGAGCAATAAAATATCTTGGGAGGAAGGGGGGAAGGTAAATTCTTCTTCTTCATCGATCTTGGAGAGGATGGGCACCCCTGTCCTTATCCTTTATATCATTATAATTCTAATATTATATCACTCTCTAATTTATTCATTTCTTGTCATTTTATGCCAGATAGATAGGAGACTGTATCTTCCAAAATAGAATATACTGTTCATCTTCTTCTTCTTGTTAAATTAATTTAAATAAACCTTTATTAAAATTTATCCTCATCTTATTTCTATAGGATTCATTTTGATTAACATAATAGGAAAATCGTAACTACAAATTTCAGTTTAAAGTAAATGATAAGCAAATGAAGAACGATACATTTTAGTTAAATCACTTTGGTCTCGTGACCCAACGAAACCCCTTTACATGGTAAAGATTCTCTTCCAAATTCATTCAGGAAACTGAACAAGATACTTATTCGCCTATAAGCTCTTTAAAGTTATAACTAGTTATAGGAAGTGATTAATATTTATGTTTGTTGATCAAATGCTCCTTCTTACTTCTTCTAGTTGTAACCGTCCACAACGTAGGGCAGGGCCCAGTCCAAATTATGACGCGGCCGGTCCAGTGCTGTGAGGTGATAACATCATCCGTCACCGATTGCAAGGTAACTATATTCATTTAATTTTTATAATATTATAATTGATAATTTTTTTATGAATGAGTGGCCTCAAATCAAAGGCGGGCATCCATCAAAAAAATCAAAGTTAAGTTAAAACTATATTTGTTTTAGCATTTCTCTTGTCCGTTTAAACGGTTTATTTAGTTTTGAAAAAAAAAATAATAAAAAAGCAGGTATATTCACTTGTTTAAAAAAGGAACGCAAAACACAAAAATAAAACTCTATAAACTACCTGGGGCACCCTTCATGTCCAAAATGTCTTGCATTTTGTAGCCGACTTCTACCAGAAATATTGCAGAATACTTACCCTATAGATTGTTGATTGTAGATTATTTATTTAATTATAATGAAAACAACATCAACAAAAAAAAACTAATATTTGTTCCTCTATATAATGTAATAGAATTTTCATAGTAAAGATAATACTTTATTAAAAGTTATTTTCCACTTGCTGTTTCTTTGTAAATATCTTACAAGTACTTCCACGTGCTACACTGAATACATTTCAGATGAATTCTCAACTTTTACAACATGCGATCCGCGAAATTGGAATTGTACAAAAGAGAAACCATTAAACATATAAAAGTTCGAAGTGTCAAATTTTAATATGTGCTATAATAAATAATTCATTCGGACGAGACTAAAGATAAACTAAGCTGAATAAAGGGAACATGAAATCTATCTTGCTACTGTCTGTGTGTGTGTGTGTGTGTGTGTGTGTGAGACGACTGAGTAGAGGAAGTTCTCTTTTCAACATGTCAGCTGTCCTCCATTATCTCTCAATTGAGGCGACGCTTCTTCAAAATTAATGCCGACGCCTTTATAGTCCATTCATATAATTGTCATATTGTCGTTAGATAATAATGGTGAATAGTCTTTTATAAATAGATGTATAGATAGAAAGAGGCATTTTATCGATCAATTAATAATAATAATATTATGCTGGTCAACAAATACGGGTATCTTCAACATCATATTCGCTATAAGAAAAAAAAAAACATCCTTCCTCTCAACAGTTAATTTTTGGTTTCATTGCGGGAATGCGGAAATCTTTATTTAATATTGTAAAATTACATAAGTCTAAGGCAATTTTTTTTCAAATCTCTAAATTTAATGTAAGTTAATTTAGGTTAGAGATGTAAAAATTAGGTTATAGATATATTTGACCGATTGTTGTTTTAAAAAAAACAAAAAAAAAACAATAAAACAAATTATTATATAAATAGGCAAAGGCAAAACGATTCAGCCCGTTTTTCTACTCTGTTTTTCGACCGATATTCTTTTTTTTATTAGTTGAAATTGACGAGTTTTAGTGTTATCACAAAATAAAAAAAATTTAAAAATATATAAATCAAAAAAATGTAAATGTTAGTTTGTTTAAAATCTCTAATCCCGCAATATTCTTCATCGATCGTTTTGAAATTTTGATACATCGTTCCAATCAAATTCAAGAGTGTTTTTAATATACATTCCATAACTATCCGATCTTTCGTTTCGAAATGATGACCAAAAAACGAGTGTTACTTTAATGGCCAAAAATAGATTGTCATGAAACTAGGCTAAAGTCTTCTCTTTAAAGCCTTTTGAATGTATACACATAACATTCTTCCCCGAAAAGATGCTGAAAAACAGTAACGCAAATAAATTCAGAATATTATTTGCAAATAATTTTAAAAGTACACAATTTTTTGTTCATTATATCCATGTATGTTGAAAGCTTACTGAATTCCCTACGAAATGAAAAAAAATAATCGAAAAAAAAAATAATGTCCGATAAGATATTTTTATTACATTTTTTCCTAAATTTTTTGCTTTTTTAAATAATTTTTTTAGAAGATTTCTATTATGAAAAAATTATATTTTCCATATTACCATAATATGAAAAATCGTTGAAATGAAAAAAAATTGTACCGACCGAAGAAGCAAAGTGAAATATATATATTTTTTAAAGTAATGAATTCACATTTTTTTTTTGGAATAACTCAAAATGTACACAAGTGTTTTGTATTATAAGTAAATATAAAAATGTATGTGGGAATTTATAAGAGTAAAAAAAAAATAAAATGTTGAAAACATGCAAACTCATGCATGTTTTCCTCACACTTTCAATAATGGTTATGGTCGAATTTGGACCATAGGCCTAACACTAATCACTTATTTTTATAGTAATAACTTTTTTTTAAATATAGGACAATATTATTATTATTATTAAATTTTAATATATTTCTTTGTTAATGAATTAATCAATTGTTTTTTTTTTCAGTCGATTAAGCTTATGGGAGGTTTCATGGGAACGTTAAAAGCAGGCATGTATATTAACGCTTCGTGGACTTATCCTACTCTGGTTAGTATTTTATAATAAATAATTAGTATATAGTAATATATTTATTTATTTTTATTAAGATTGTGATTATATAAAGTCCAACTGTTAAGAGAATGAGAGTAAGCTTTAAAATATTCTTTACCAACTAATAAAACTTTCACTATCAAATTCCATGAATTGTATTATGTATTGGAATAAATATTACCTATAGGATGTTTACATATATTTATATTTAGGCATACAGTCAGATGCTTGGTTGTTATCAGAAGAGGATGTTGTCACTGAATCCTAATGAATTTTACTTTGTATATAATTATTGCAAATGTTTTTCATATTAATTTGTTCATTATTATCATTATAGCCAACTTTATTTGTATGGAGCATTCCCCGAAAAAAAAAATAATAATATAAAAAAAAAACCTACAGGAGGTTCAGCTGGCGGTATCGCATGGAATTTAACAGTATGTTCTGTTCAATATTTGGTATATTTGTAGCTGAAAAACTTAATTCGACATTTATAGACTAGAGTACATTTTTTTTTTCTTTTTATCTATCTTAAATATTCAGATTTACCATTCTTAAAAATGTTAAAATTTAAAAATGGAAACAACTATGTCGTGAGCTGGGGTAAATTTGGGACTGGGAGTAAAATTTAGTTTATGGTGATTCCGTGGTGGATACACTGTGTTGATTCAGTCAGCATGTACTGCGATTACTTTGCAGCTAGTGTTGCCCAAATGCGAGACCGAGACGCATCTTGGTCTTGCACACTCAGTCTTGGTTATGGTCTTGGTCTTGCGCAAGAGTCTCGCAACAGTCTTGCAATTACTTATTAGTTTATTACTATAGATATATTACTGTAATTTTGTAGATAAAGAAACCACATTAAACCCGAATGAAAAATTAGAGGAGTTAAATGCAGAAGTATAATGGCTATACCAATAATTAACATGCTAAGTGCAAGACCAAGACCGATTTTGGGCAACACTATTTGCCGCACACTACTCTTGAGGCACAAATTATCCATAGCTGTCTCAGAGTTATCCCTATCTTACCGTAGTCTTATATGAATTTATTAGAATGCTAGGTGGCCATTACACTAGATTCTGCTCAGGTAACACAATTACTCATAATCTATTTTTTACGGATATAAACAAAAAACAATATATATATATATATATCTGTGCTTCGGAGGTAAAATACACCATGCTCATTTTTTAATAAAGTAATTAAGTCACTAAGAAAAACATTTTAATAGCTCGAAGTAATGGAAAATTTGCTCTTGTGGACAAATACAAAAATGGGCATGGAGCCCTTAACCTCCACGGTACAGATATAGTTGTGCACATTTATCCTAAACAAATTTAAAAAAAATCTTTTCTCATTCAACTCCTAATGTAAGGTTTGGTTGTCTCTTATTTGGACAACTTTTCAGTTTGCAATACTTTAAAAAATATACTATAATAATATTAGAATTATTATTTAGAATTATTCAAGAATTTCATTGTATGTTGAAGATAAAAAAATTAACAATGAGTAAAGGTGGCGGTAAGCTCAATCATTAGGAGAAGGCTGTGAATATATTTAAATAGCGATGAGGCAAGATGGCGGCACGGGCCACCATTGGTCGACGCCGGGAGCCAATCACACGCAACCTACCGGCACCCCCATTACGACTAATTCCCTCTCTCTCTCTCCCTCACTCAAATTATACTGGGACATAATCAGTCTGCTTTTACATTATACTGCTCCTGGTTTTTTTGTCCTATTTTTTATTTGGTTTTTTTTTCTCCACGCCTCACTACCGGTTCGATTTTTTTCCCTACTGTATTTTTTAATTTTTTCCCTATTCCCCCTCACGGACGGTAGCCCTGGCCCTAACCAATGGCATGCAATTATTATCCCCCGCCCAATTATCGGACCCAATTTGTATAATTGTTCAGATTCGGGCTGGCTTAATTACCACCTGACTCCGCCCTGTATTAATTATTTATTCAAATTACCCTTGATACAATTTCCTTGATAATTTTATGTATGAAACGTATTTAACTTTATTTTTTTATTCTGAAGGACAAGGATATTGGTTTTTTTTTTTACACGCTTTATACAGCAGTTGTTTTGTGTCCTGGGGTTTTCTGAGAGACAAAGTACGCAGGATACATGAGATTTCATTGAGTAAACTGGTTTATAGATGATTCGATGGGTGGACTGTAAATTTGAGAAATTCTCTGTTTTACAATTACACAGATAATATAAGAGTCTGTGGAAGACTGTATTTAAAGAGGGCTATTGGAGGCCAATAATTGCTATAGTGGTCTTCATTAGTATTTAAAAAGTAAAGTGATCGCCTACAACGAAGTGAAGCATTTATAAGACCCTGATCCGACCTGTGGCCTTGTTTGTGACATAATATGGAACATTGACAAATATTTGAAATAATTTAGACTAGAAGGAATGTAGATATCCATAACACTTTAAATTCAATTATAATTTCAAAAACAAAAAAAGTCGACGTACAAGAAAATTTACACAGAAACCACAGGCGGATCTACGGGGGGGGGGGGGCTTTCGGGCTGAAGCCCCCCAAAATGGTAAGATATAACCATGTTTTACAGAAAAAAATATTAAAAACTATCTCTTAAAGTATTCTTGTTCGTGTAATTATATTTAATAGGACTTCAAGAACCACTTAAACACCATTTCATATAGGTAATTAATTTCTTTATTTTTTTTCAAATTAATTATCGTTATATGTATATGAAAAAAAAAATCTTTCGGGCTGAAGCCCCCCAAAATTAAATCCTGGATCCGCTAGTGACAGAAACCACAATAATCTCTGGTTCGGGAATTCGTAACATTTGACAAAATAAAGACTCTGTTGATTGTTTATATTAAAAGTTCTTAAAACGTGCAGTAAGATTGTCAGGGGTTGTAGATGTTTCTATAAATTTATTTTCTTTCGTAAAAAGCAAGTTCTTTCAGGCCAAGCGTGACCACAACACTCTTCTCCTTTGTCATGCTCAGTGGGTTAACCTTTTTCTCGATTCGACTCTTTCTTATTTCGAACGTTTCCACTTATTTACGGATCTGTGGAACACGAAACGTCATGTCGTTGATGTTTTGCTCACTTTTGCTATTGCATAATATGTTTATACCTAACGATGGGTTATCATTGCTTGCAAAACACTTACTTTGCAAGTATCTGTAATTGTACAGATTGTGATCCTAAGGAAAAGTTTTCTTAAGTTCGCGCATCCTTCCGCATAATTTCGAATACAATGATCAATACTTAAATAAATGAAAAACGAAATATTTAAAAACTTGCAGAAACCAACGGTTTGTAGATCGGCGAACGCAGTTTTAAAAGTACAGGCACTTTAGAGCACCATTATCATAACAGATGATAACAGAAAAAAAAGAGGTACAAATGAAAGTAAAATGAAAATTAATATCTGGGAAAAGAAACTACTCTGAAAGATATATGAGCCAATAAGAGAAAGTGGCACATGGCGATTAAAGAAGAATTATGAGTTCCGTGAATATTATGGAAAACCAGACCTGATATCATTTATGGAAAAAAAAAACGCCTTAAGATGGCTCGGACATGTAGAAAGTATTTCAGGAACTAGGATGTCAAGACGCCAGCTGAACGGAAAAATTGGTGGGAAACGATACAGAGGCCAAGACAAAAAGACCAAGAGTGAGAGGGCCCAGCAGTAAGTAATTATCAATAATATTCTATTTTTTTTGCGGGGAAGTTTCGAGAAAAAAAATTCTTGGCAAGTACAACTGCGTTTTTCTTAATTTGTGAGAAGAAGAAAAATATTTTAACTTTTGATAAGGGTTAAACATTAGCTTCAAAAAGTTCTTTCTACAAATGACAAGAGTTACTCCTTACAAAATTGAAGTTCATATTTTTTCATTATTTAATTATTATTACAGGTAGTTTTTCTCGATACTTGATAAAAATGTAGATTGTTTTAAACATGTAATACTTTATATCAACTGGTTTCAGTTTATTCATTATCTTAAACCACAAAATCGTACATAAAATGCTAAAAAAAGTTTAAGATAAGCTTTGGCGAGCCCTTCAAGTTATAAATAAGTCAAGCACTCACACTAATAATACAAAAAATGTTTCATAATAATATGGAAATGTTTTCCAATTTCTAAAACTGTTGGTGTAATAGCAAAGGTTTTAATCTTGTCCCAGCAAATTGAGTCTAGAGAAATTGGGCAAAAAAAGTGAAAAAATTCCATCATCCACATGTTCACATCGGAGCTCCAATTTTACAAAAGTAAAGCCTGAGAAGAAACAAATTAAAGCAGAAGATAATGTGGAGGAAGGAACGACCGGGACAGGTAGTGTGGTTCCTAAAATAGCAGGTTGTGTCCTGTAAGAGATTGAAGACTGTCTGAAATGGAGGAGCTAATAAGAGTGCTCTGGAAGATGGTAATGTATGCGGGGACAGTGCGGGTGTGTCTGTAGCCGCAGGGGTACGGGCGGGTCTGATCTACCTGGGTATCCGAAGTGAGGTGGTGGTGTGATCAGCATCAAGGTTCCTCCTATGTATCTACCAAGAGTTAGCATTACTTCTGTCGAAGGAAGATAAAAATTCAGAGATGTCGACAACTATTAACAGAGAATTTATCTTTGTGCTTGATTCAACGCTCTAAAACAATGCAGGAAGTATAGGCGTCGGCACTTAAAGAGAGAGCGAAAGTAAATGTAATTTAACAGGATTTAATTAATAAAAGAACAGAGGGGAGGTATAATCCCATACATAGAAGAATAGCTCAGTCACCAGTTTTTTTACCTGCCATGTTTATTTATTTATATCCCCTTTTGTCATGATCTTTAGGCAATACAGGCATTTTGAGTAATAAGATGTTATTGTTCATACCGAGCCGCTGCTGCATTTTAAACAATATTTTACTCCCTATCTCGTCATTTCTTGCATATGTAGGGTGAACACACCAGGTTGGAATTTGAATGTAAATAATAAGCTTCCATGTTGATT